AGGGACTGTGCCTCGGTGCTGTGCCCCCTCCCCAGCCCTGCTCTGGGCCCTGCCCTCGGCTCTCTGGGCCCCACAGGGGTCCCCAAAGTCAGTTTGTGTTCTGTGAGGTCCCCCCGCAAACCCTCTGGTGCCAGTGACCCGTGTAGCAATCTTTGCCCCTGGTGTTTGCACGGCTCTCCCCGTTACTGAAGACACCCCCAAAATAATGAAGCAATGGTGAGTGATCCTGAAGTGCCGTGAAGCATTTGCCTGTTCTTGCATGGGCTCAGAACTGAGGTTCTGGAGGTGCTCCTCAGGGAAATCCAAGTGGCTTTGGGAAGCCAATTGACCCATAATGGTGGTTCTGACAGGGAACGGGGCAGAGCAGCCCACACGCTCAGGTGTGGGAGGGCACCATGCCCAGGGGGTGCCCACAGACAGTGTCCTGGTGTCTGTGCCCTGCTCCTGGCCCAGCAGGGAGTGCATGGGGGGCAGCTCTGCCAGGGGTGCACAGGCTCACCCTGCCTGGAAGGACAGTGGGAGGGTGACAGGATGTTTGTGGAGCTGAGCTGAACTCTGTCATACCCGAGGGCTCTCACCAGGGTTTCTCATTTGCTTTTGCAAGTCAAGGAGGAGTAACTGGCACAGGGAAAACAGGAAGAAGGCTCTCAAGGAAGAGTTTAGGAGCACAGGACTTAAGATGGAGATGAGGTGGAGAGAAGCCAGACAAAAAAACACAATTAAGAGCTTTGCCTTGTGCCTCAGGTATCGGTGTGTACAGGTGAGACATGCACTTGGGACAGAATGATCTCCTTCCCTTCCAGTACTGCCTGGCGGGGCAGGAGGAGTCCCTGGAGCAGTGGGACTGGCATCTGGGGGTCAGGGGGAGTCCCTGGAGCAGTGGGACTGGCATCTGGGGGTCAGGGGGAGTCCTTGGAACACCAGGATTGGCATTTGGGGAGTCAGGAGGAGCCCCTGGAGCTGGGATTGGCATGTGGGGGTCAGGAAAAGGCCCTGGAACACCAGGATTGGCATTTAGGGTCAGGAGGAGCCCCTGGAGCTGGCATTGGCAGTACTGCTGTGGGCCTGGTGTGGCCCATACTGCAGGGATGGTGCTGTCCTCTGGAGCTGCCAGCTGAGGAGGCACTTTTCTTGGAATGGGAACAAGGAGTCCCCCACAAACGGCTTCTTATGGTAGGTGGGAGCTGGGACCAGCTCTACCCCTTCTCTTGTGCTGGGCACAACTCTTGTGGAAGCAGCTTGACACTTCTGGCTGAGGCAAACTAACCTTTTTGTTCATGGCCACTGCGTGTCTGGTCTGTCATTTGGGCCAGTCCAGCGTGGGTACTGGGACAGGAGGGGCTCCCTGTTACCCATCTGTCTGCAGGATTCCCTTCTCCTGGCACTCTGGTGCTGTGTGTGTGTCCCAGCCTCCTGGCACTGTGCTGATGCTCTTGGGGACCAGCCAAAGGCCCTGGCTCCATTTCTGCCTTTGGGAGTTTGGGGTTTTTCTGTTATTCTGCAGTGGTGCCTGGAGGATGTTGCTCCATCCGTGGGGAGGGAAGGGGAGCTGTGGGAGCAGGTCAGCCCTGGTCCTGGTCAGGGTTTTCCACAGCTCCCATGACTCACTAGGTGTGCTCAGCAGGTCCCTGACCCTGCCACTGTGCTCAGCTCAGTCTGGAGCAGCAGGAGCCAGAGCCAGCATTCCCTGGAGTCCTGCACTCCCTTGGGGACACAGATGTGCCCCTTTGGCCTTCCCAGCAGCTTGAGGGGTGCGTGTCTGCCCCTGTGGTCTGCCCCTGCTGTTCCCCAGAGCCAGCAGCCCAGGGAGGGCTGTGCCTGCTGCCTTGGGCTCTCCTCTCTGTCCCTTGCCCACGCCTATTGCTGAGCAGGCAGGCTGGGTGGGTTTGGGAGTCCCACTCCTCACCTGGCCCTCAGTCCCACCTTGCTCCCTCCTGCAGCTCCTGCCCTTGCCTGCAGGATGGGATGGGAGGTTCTGGGGCCAGTGGGTGCTTGCAGCACCTGCAGAGTTGTTCTACCTGATTTCCTCACTTCTGCTGCCCCATTCTCAGTCTCCCTTCAGGGCCTCTGGGTGCCTTTGGGAGTTCCCCAGGCTGTGGGTGAGTCAGCGCTGTGTTTGCTGTGGGATGGCAGTTTGTCTTTGTGCCAGGCAGCTGTTCCCAGCAGGTGGCAGGAGGTCACACAGGTACCCAGTGCAGGTACCCAGCAGGCTGCTGGAGGGAGCTGGGTGCCCCCTGGCAGCTGCTGCCATCCCTGCCGTGCTCTGCGCTGCCCAGTATGGTGGCTCCTCTCCATGGCCTCCATCTGCCTTCCTGCGCGGGCTGGGGGGCACTGGCAGGGCCCTCCTCATCCACACTGCAGGGAGAGATAGAGCAAAGGTGGAAACGCAGTGTTTGCAAGTGAAATGAAGCCCCGAGGGCAGCTCAGCTGAGCTGTAGCAGCGCTCACTGGCCTGCTGTGGCACGTTGTTCTGTCAGAGCTCAGGAGCTGCGTTGGCATTTCCTCATGGACGCCGTGTCCCATTGCCTGCTCTGCTCATGGTGCCCTTTCCATCGTCCTTGTGCTCCTCCGGCTTCTCCCTGCCTCCCACAGACACCAGGCTGGTGTTTGTTGTTTGTCTGTTGCACTCAGAGCCCTTCCCAAGCTCCTTGCTGTGCCCCAGGCCCTGTTACACCAGGAATTCCTGCCCTGAGCTCAGCTGAGTTCTGCCCTTCCCAGGCTCCCGTGGCACTGCTGATGGTACCAGTTACACACTCATGGGAAGGATTTGTCCCACAGGTGCCTCCCAAGTTCCCACTGTGCTCTCAGATTCCAGTGGTGGCCACAGGTGGTTGTTCAGGCCCACCAGCACAGTGCCTGACAATGGCAGACACGTGGGACCAGCCCAGACCTGCCATCTGTTCTCCCACATCCCTGGGATTGGTGTCCCTAGATCCCATGGAAATTTGGGAGCTCCCTGCTCCAGCAGAGCTCAGGATTGGCTCAGGATTGCCTGAGCCACCTCTGTTTTTGGAGGACTTTCTCCTCTGCCCCCAAACTTGGGGCAGTTTGCCTTCATAGCCTGGTGTGAGCCTTCCTCCAGCCCTAGAGCCCTTCCTGAGGTTTGGTCTGTGGGACATGGGAGGCCCAAAGGCCAGTGTCCTTTGTCACTCAAGGACAGTAACCTTGGATCCAGCACCAGGCAGGCTTACAGGCTAAGGAAAGTTATTCTGGCCAGACGTAAATGAGACAGAGGATTGCAGGCAGTGAGTAAAACATGTTGATTTCTTCCTTGATGCTTCAGTGTCCACCACCTGCAGCCACAGAGTTTGTTGCAGCTGCTCTGGCAGGAGCTCAGACTCTGCAGCCTCCTTGGAACTGGCTCCTCCCTGCAGTCACAGCATCCTGAACGTGCAGCCAAGGCCACCCAGACATGCCAGGCATGGCCAGGAGCTGTCTTGGGGGGACAGCCATGCCCAGCTCCTGTTCCATGGGGCAGGTTGTCTGTACTGTTGCACCCTCCTACTCTTCCTAGCCCTTGGAATGTTTCACTTTCTTTGCCCTAGTTCACGTGTGGTGAATCAGTTAAACAGTGGATCAGTTAAACACAGACGGTGCCTGTGTGCACTCGGTGGCCCTGGCTCTCTGCAGCTCCTCGTGCACCACAGCACCTGTGGCACTGCTGTGTGGGTGTTGGAGCCAGCACTGGCAGCAGCTCTGCTCTCTCTGTTGAGGGCTCAGGAGTCACTGGCAGGTGACAGGTTGCTTTGCCCCTCTGTGTCCCTGGTGGTCCCCCCTTCTTGCAGAACCTTCTTGTCCAGCACAGGGTTCCTCACCCTGCGCAGGAGCTCCAGACCAAGTTCCCAGTCTCTTGGACTTGTGGAAGAGCACAACCAGGCCAGGTTCCCTCTTGTTCTGTGCTTCAGGACTGCAGAAATGTTCCTGTTTCCAGACAGGCTGGGATGGTCTGAGCCACACACCTGCTCACAGCATGGAGTTCTTTTCCTTGCTCTGCCTTTGTGAGGAGGAAACTGAAATGCTGCTTGGGTGGCTTTTTCCTCTCCTAAGTTCTCATTGTGTGTCTTCTCCCATATCTCTCGTTAAAGATGAGGGGATCCATGGCTTGGTGAAGGTTGCACCTCTCTCTGAGGCTGGGCTGTGGGTCCTGGTCACTGCTCTGCCTGTGCAGCCCCTTTCCCCCCTCTGTGAAGTGCTTGTCTCAGGATAAGGCTCTGATCCCACTGGGGATGGGGGTCTCTCATGGAGCCCCTTCAGCTCACCCCTGCAGGGGCTGCACTTGTTCTCAGTGTGGGCAGCATGGAGAAGTCACTGGGCCAGTGGTGCCCCCACTCTGTGGCTGTGGAGCTGGGAGGGGGCAGGCTGCCCTTGTGGGCTGCTGGAGCTCACCTGCCCTTCCAGGGGCACCTCCTCCACGTGTTTGTGAAACGCTGTTAGAGCTGCCAGGGAGCTGGGGCTGCCACGTGCCTCTCATGGTGAGATGTCCTGGGCTGCAGACCTGAAGTACTTCCATGCCAATGTTGCTCCTGGGGTGTCCCCAAGCCCCTGTCCCGTGGCTGCCCACACTGGCCAGGGTGGGAGTGAGCAGCCTTGTCTGGAAGAGACGTGTTGGTGATGTGGGTGCATGGCTGCATCTTCCTCTTGCCGTGGAGTCCAGTGAGGGGTTGGTGAAGCCCCTTGTGTTCCCAGCACAGGCCACTGCAGCCATGGCTGTGGGGGTCTGCAGGCATGGGAGGGGTGTGCCAGCCTCAGGGTCGGCTCAGAGGGACCTCCAGACCAGCAGCAGAGGTGGGTGTCACACAGAGGCTGAGCTTGGGGTGTGGCACTCTGTGCCAGGTGAAGGCCGGAGTCCTGGGGACACGCGTCCCCACTGGCATCAGGAGAGACAGGGAATGGATGAGTGGGACTTGGGGCTTGGCAGGCTTTGGGCTGCCCCACAGCCTCATGTCTGAGGGGCTCAGAGGAAGGGAATGGCTGCCCAAGGAGAGTGACCCTGATCCTGTGTTCTGGGAGCAGTGGAGGTGCCCCAGCTGTGCCCCTCTGCTGGGCACAGCTACATGGAACCGTGCTGCCTCAGTCCATGTTCCACAGCTGTGTTTGGAAGGGCTTCAGCTGGGTTTCTCTGGCCATTTGCTGCCCTTCTCTTTGATTTCAGAACTTGAACATTTTACTGGTGAAAACACTAGAGCAGAAAGAGGTGGAAGGCTTCCCAAGCCCCTCTGTTGAGCAGGAGCAGTGCCTGGCATTGGATGTCTCTCTGGCTTGCCCACAGAGGTTGTGAGCTCCCCATCCCTGGAAGTGTTCAAGGCCAGGGTTGAATGGGCTTGGAGCAATCTGGTCTAGTGGAAGTTGTCCCTGCCCGTGGCAGGGGGTTGGAACTAAATGGTCTTTAAGGTCCCTTCCAACCGAAACGATTCCATGGTTGTTTGGGTGTCACCCAGTCCCAGTCCTGCACGCCCTGCCCTGGCGTGAGAACATGTGGGACAGGTGGTGTTCCTGCACCGTGCCTCCAGGTGGCCTCTCTGACCACCCATGTCCTCCCCAGGCCACCAACGGTGGAGGAGCCTTCAGTGACTACTCGTCGTCCGTGCCCTCCACCCCGAGCATCAGCCAGCGGGAGCTGCGGATCGAGACCATCGCTGCCTCCAACACGCCCACCCCCATCCGCAAGCAGTCCAAGCGGCGCTCCAACATCTTCACGGTAAGCAGCACGGGGCCCAGGAGCTCGGGGGGTTCCAGCACAGGAGAGGGCAGGCAGTGGGTCAGGGCAGCCCGAGCCTTGGGCTCTCCTGCACGGCCGCCATGCTGTGTGTGCAGGGAGGGACCTGCGCGTGCAGGGACACGGTGCTGCAGGCTGCTTCAGGCAGGGTGTGCGTGCATGGGAGCATCTGGGAGCAGGACAGTGCTCGCACACACGGCAGTGTGCAGGGGTGCACTCGTGGGGGTCTGCAGTGTGTGTGAGCCCCTGCTCGTCGCAGGGAGCGCAGCTGTGCGTGCACAGCACCAGTGACTCTGCTCATCTCCTCCTTGGGGCTGCATTCCCCGAGCGTGGCACAGAGCCCCTGGTCCGTGGGCCTCCTGTTTGGTGCTGGTGATGCTGTGCCAGTGGTGCTGTGCAGAGCTCAGCACCTGGCATGGGGCCCCACTCACTCCCGTTCCTGAATCCTGCGCGACTCGAGCAGCGCACGTGGAGCTGCTGTGGGTGTGGAGGGAGGGAGGACAGCTCTGGGCCCCAGGTGGAGCAGGGTACATTTGCAGCCCTCAGCTATGCTGGTTGCCTCGCAGCCTGCCTCTCTGCACGCTCTCACACCATGCACACGCTGTCCACACAGTGTGCCCAGTCCTGCCCTCACTCTCACCCTTGCTCTGAGCACAGCCATGAGTGTCCCCTCACTGTGTGCACACACGTGTGTCCCTGTCCCGTGTCTAGTGCAGGTGTAGCCTCTGTTCCCTGTGTACATGTGCAGGCTCCGGCCTCGATCCTCTCCCCATCTCAATATGCTTTCCAGCCACCATTGCTCAGCACACTGTGTCTGCTGTTTGTGGAACTGGCCACAACAAAGCCCTTGTACCTGTTGCACTGTGTCACCCTTGTGACCAGCCGCTATTGCTCCGAGCCCAGACCACACAAATTCAGTGTCCTGTGCCCCATTCCTCTCACTGCACCATTGGCATCCCAGATTCCCCACGCCTGGTGTTGGGAATGTGCCCATCTTCCTTGGCTTCTGGCATCCTGTCAGTTTCTGTGCTGACCTCCCCAATACTGTGCGCATTCCCCGGGCTGCATCTCCCGCACCCTCAGCTCTCTGTGCCCCCCCAGGCCCACGCTCACCCTGCCCGTGTGCTGTTGGTGGGTGGGCTGTGCTCCCCAGCCCCTCCTGCCAGCACACACGGCCCCTGGCTTGCAGCAGGTCCCTGCTCCCACGCATGGTTGTTCCCTCCCTGTGCCCTCTGGAATGCCCGGTAGCTGTGCCATGCCCAGGCCCTGCTCCCCTGCATGCAGTGCCGGCTGGTTCCCGCCCGGCGCTGCCACCCTCTGGCTGTGCTTGCTGCTGTGCCGCGGGCCTTGCGCTGTGCCAGCACCCAGCCACGCTGCCCGACGCCCCTGGACTCGCCGCCGGCTCGCCTTCCCGCTCTCGGAGCGCCATGGGGTGGGCACGCTGCGGGAGGAGGAGGAGGAGGGCGGCTTGCTGTGGGGCTTACGCTTGTTCTTGTTCGCTGTGGAGTCATCACGCGCGGCCGCGGTCTCTCGGCTCGCTCATCCGGCTCACGCTTGCTCTGCGCCGCGCGCTCACCGCGCTCACCTCACCGCTGGGCTCACCTCACCTGCTTGCTCGTGTGCTGCTGCACATCCATGGCTCACGTTGACGTCTTCACCCATCTGGTCGTGGCAGCAGCAGCAGCTCCCGACACCTCCCGCAGTGGGGCAGGACCAGGAGGGGCGGGAAGGGAAGGAGAGGGCAGGCTGTTTTCTGCCGCTAGCTTTTCCCAGGCAGGCAGCGCAGGGGTAGCCAGCAGCCTCTGTCCTTACAGGGTCCCCAGGCGGGCACAGGCCTTTCCGAGGTGCAGTGCTCGGCCCAGCTCTGGGAGCTGCTGCAGCCCCAGTCCTGAGCTATGCCTGACTCCTTTGCTCCTCTTCTCCTCTCCTCCTTTTCCTTTCCTCCCCCTCCTCCCTGCTCTCCTCCTTCTCTTCCTTCCTCCTCTCTCCTCCTCCTCCTCCTCCTTCTCTCTTCTGCTCTCCTTCTCCTCTCCCCTGCTCCGGCTCCTCTCCCGCTCCCCTCCTGCCCCCCAGTGTTTCGCATTCCCCCCGGGGGTCTGCGTGCCCCAGAGCTCCAGGTGGACACAGACTCTGCGCCCCTCCTGCCCCCGCCCCAGCCCCGACTGCTGCTGCCGCCGGCGCCCACTCCGTGGCCTGTCCGTGCTGTCTGCTGGCACCCATCACTGACAGACTCGTGTCCGTGTTCTGAGTATAACTTGCCAAACTCTTTATTCTTTCGATATTTGCAGATATGTGCCACTGTTTCCAACTTTTCATCAACAAAAAGGCCTTTCCAACTCCTTCCAAATTAGAAGATCCAGGTGGTTACACACGGCACCTCTGTACAAATTCTCTCACTTTTCATTGCCTCTCCAGGGCCGGATAAGGGATGGGCACTGGGATTGATCTAAGATTAGAGGCTCGCCCGCCCTCCAGCCAGCATGGGTCCCCCCCTCGGAGACACGCAGGAGCCTTTTAAATCCCCCCAATGTAAAGTCTAGGAAGCGCTGAGACGGCCTGCGCCTGCACTTTAAGCTGGGACATTTCTGGGCCTGCTGGATGCTGTCTAGGCACTGCCCTTTCTCGGGGATGCCGGGCGGACGACCCTGCTGGGATGGGAAGACCTGCAGACGCACCGGGACCGGGCGACAGCCGCGCATGGAGCTGGATGGGCCAAAAGACGCTTTGCTGCTGCCTGCGGGAGCCGCTGCAGCGCCTGCCGCTAGCGCTCCGCTCCTTCTTCCCTCCTGCACCTCTGCAGCCTGCATGGACTCCTGCTCCTTCTCCTCTTCTCCTCGCAGCCGAGCAGCCATCTGTGTCTCTTTAGTTTTCTTCTCTTTCGATCTCTTTGTTTGGTTCTGGGCCCAAAATCTGGTGAATCGGTGTGCCAGGCGCGCGGGGCTCGTATCCCTTTCTGATCCAAAGCACACGGGGCCCTCCTGGACTGAGGGGGTGTGTAGGACGCTCCAGAGAGACGCTGCCGCTGCCTCCTGCCATTGTTGTGATTCTGAATGTATTGGTTGTGCTCCATGCCATGTATGACTTGGTATTTCCCTCTGTCCTAAGCACTTTGAATGAGTTCTGCTCAACAGACTGTAAATTTCATATTGTATTTATCAGAGTTTGCTCTCCCCGCGGCCCTCGGGCGCTGGTGGGTCCCGCTCTCGCCGCTCTAGACGTGTGGTAGATATTTATTGTCCATGCTCTTTTGTAAGGGGCTGGTATCTGCCCGGTGACCTGTGCTACTTTGTATGGTGCAAGTGTGTTACCAGAATAAATCTGTTGGATTAGTAGAGGTGTGAGTTCCTTCACTGCCTGACCCTCTCCTGCTTCCATCCATGCTCCACCTGCATCCCATGCCATTTCTGTCTGTCGCCATGTCCTGTGTGCCCCACGGGAGGGGGGGCCCATGCAGCCCCGCTCTGCCAGGAGGAGGACAGCTCTGCTTGCACCGGGGGGAGAGGAGAGCAGAGGAGAGGAGAGGAGAG